GCAGATAGCTGTCCTATTCCAGCCGGGTCCCTAGGCAAAGAGCTGCCACTTCCACCATTCTGCCAGCAGAGCTGTTTACATGAGTACTAGCACATCACATTAAGCAAACATTGGTGAAATTAATGCAAAACATGTATTTAAACTGAAACCCTGATGGCTTGAGCCACAAACAGGACAGCAGGCATTCACCTCTACCTTGGAAGTAGCAATTTCCAGCAGAAGGATAAACAGTGAAGAGCAACAGCACCTTCACTCAGAGCTGCTTTCTGCTGGATGAGCAGCTCTCGCTCTGTGCTTTCCTCCGGGCTCACCATTTACCTGAGCGCCTTCTGCTATTGCTCACCTCAGCTTTGCTAGTCCCACGCCCTTCTTTCCTATCCCCCTCTCCTGCTTTATTCACACCGCAGTGGCATCCTGCCTTCTGTGGAATTGCAATGCTCTGCCAGCACGGAATACTGGACAAATTACTCGTGACTGTGCATCACACCATAAAAGAATTATCTTTGAAAACATGACAGTGTTCCTCACACAGACAGGAGGAACCCCAGGTTTACAGGCTAACTCTAGCAGTGCTTGGCAGCAATAGCCATGTACAACTGTAGTAAGACTTGGCCACTCACTCCAAACAGCAAACACTGACAGCCTGGCTAATGGAAACCAGGAAAAAACCTTTTCCAGGTGGATTGATTTATTTCAAGGAAATAAGCAGGACTGTACCCCTGAGCCCCCTTCAGCCAGATGTGAACTACCAAAGGAGAAGAGCTCTCCAGTTAAGTCTGTCACTAGCCGAGCCCTGCTGAAGAGCTAATCCCATACACCCCAGGGGACAGAAAAAGGAGAGGATCCTGGTATTGAAGTCCTCTGGACTACTGCTTTCATATCAGGCTCTGGCCAGCAGCTGTCTTCTAACTGTGAAACTTCTCCCCCTTTAATCTAAGGAGCGTTTTCCTCCACTTCACACCAGAGCTCAACAGGAAGCTGGACTAAAACCTGAATCCCTCTTCTGACTCCTTCTCCTTCCTCTCCAGCCCCCAGCCTGCTGCTGCCCATGGCAACACCAGGTAGCATTAGGAAACAGGATTCTTTAGCTTCACAGCTGCCCACAGGGTTTTGAAAATAGCAACAGGGACACTGATGAGTGCAGCTGGTCCCATTTGTCCAGATTCAGGAGATTAATAAGGGCTGTGGTAACTTAGATCATGAGAATGGGGGCTGGAGGAAAGCTTTTACACATGTGGATGTGCAGCATAAGGCACTGGCTTCAAACCTCATGTACTTACCAGGGAAATGGTAGAATTGGGAAAGCAGTTAACATTGCTCTGCCTTCCTTGTAAGTTAAGGGTGTCCAGCCAGCTTAATTTGCAGAAAAGATTTAGAGGGAATATCTAAAAAAGTCTCCTCATGGCTAAAGTCAGGAGAAACACTACAGGACACTAATTACTTCAGAAGGTTGCTGAGCTCCCCTGGCTCAGAGGTGAAGTCTGGGCAACACCATGCGTGGAATAATGAGGAAAACCCACACTTATCTCAGCTGTGGAAGACAGGGCTGGATGCCTCCTAAGTCCCTTTAAGCCCTATAATTCTGCAGTTAAACCACACAAACACAAAAATGCAATGCAGTCTTAAAGAAATTAACACAAAGCAATGAACTCAGTCAAAACACTCTAAAGTAAATATCTGTAAAATAATTCTGCCATCCAAGGAACACAACATGATGCCCTACAATTCTGAAACAAAGCCCAAGACACCTGAAGATCATTTCCATTGACCAGCACATTTAATTACTTAGCACTGAGCAGCCCTCAGTGTTTTTACTCCACCGCGCTGTTTTCTCACCAATAAGTCACATCTGCAGGTTATTTTTCTTTAATTATTCAGCTGCTATACAGCTCCGAGGCCCTGGCAAACCAAAGGTTAAGCAACCTAGCCCATGTTATGCAGACGGGGAGATTAGATCATTACAATCCCCAGCGGCCACCCCTCGGTCGGTATTACTAAACCGTGAGGGTTAGAAACGTTTTTCTGGGAAACCGCATTCCATAGAAACCCACTGGCTAACTCTCCCAAGACGCCAGGAAAGGCTCTTCCAGCCACCACTAAGGATAAGAACGGGAATTTTTCAGACTACCTACTTAAAATGGCCGGGACTTACCGAGGAGTTTTTTCCCGTACAGAGGTAATGGGGTTTATTCATCAGTCAGTTCCTGCCTCCCCAATTAGCGATGACAGAACATCATTCCTCCGGAGGCACGCACGGCGCCGGCCGGCCCTCCAGCGAGGCCCCAGCCCGGCAGAGCCCGCAGCCCCGGGA